AATTAAGAAAAGACTTGTATCGCTGAAGTTCCTCGGAAAGAATTTATACCGGAAATTAACAAACGAGCAAAAACGTAACAATATACACAAAATGTTCCTTTAATCTCTTCTCCAAAGCTGTTTTCGAGTCCACAACGTTTCCAACTTTCAATGACTGAAATATAAGTTTCTTTTTACATGTCACTCATAACAAATTCACGAGTTTTCTTTTATGTTTTTCATTAAGTTTCAACCTTATGTGGTTAAAGAAGGCTTAGTACTCACCTTCAGCACTATAGCTGTCTTTTTTGTTGTCTGGTTTTGTTTTAAGGGTAAAGCCGCACAATGTCTACATTCGTTGTGCCCACCACAATGATCGAACCCAGAATTTTAGTGTAATAAGCCTTCAAGGTCTTTCAAATAGTGTTATTAAAAACTATTTTTCTAAATGAATGATTAACAATATTAATAATGTTGATTCATACGAACATTTTTTCATGAATATACGACCTACGTCACAGGGGTATCCAATGAATAAACTATTTTTTAAGCCTTGTCTCTTAATGTCTCTTAATTATACTCATAATGGCGGATTACATACATTGAGTTTGGACAAATTAGTATAAAGGTTTTTAATGTCATTTCAGACATATGTGTTTAACAAGTTAATGTCAAGGCAAAAGAGATTCATCTTTCGTGAAGACGTGGCTGATGACGATAAACCTGAGAATAAAACGACAATTGAGTAAGTCACTAATGACTTATATATATTTTTTCGAGATAAAATATGTTAAATTAGTTGAAATTCACAACTGTGCCAGGACTATAATTTCTGATTGTTAGATAAAGCTAATCCTATTATTAAGCAGTTGCTTCCTTAACACTATGTCAGTACTGTAATCTCCGATTGTTAGGTGAAGCTAATCGAAACATATACTTATTGCTGAATTGCACTGGGATTGCAGATAATATCCTTTTGACTAAATAGATTTGATCTAATTACACGTTCTTAAAAGTTTGGTATTTTATGTTAAAACGGTCATATGCTTTATAGGATACATAAAGTATGACAATTGAAATTCAAAAACAAACAAACTTACCTAAAATATTTATTTTTATTATTATATGATTGCAATCTGACGTCTGCTTTTTTTTTGGTGAATGTCGCGCAAAGTTACTCGAGGGCTATCTACGCTAGCCGTCCCTAATTTAGCAGTGGAAGACTAGAGGGAAGGCATCTAGTCATTACCACCCACCGCCAACTCTTGGGCTACTCTTTTACCAACGAATAGTGAGATTGACCGTCACTTTAAAACGCCCCCACGACTGAAAGTGCGAGCATGTTCGGTGGAACGGGGATTCGAACCCGCGACCCTCAGATTGCGAGTCGAGCGCCCTAACCACCTGGCCATGCCGGGCCGGTGGTTCACTTATAAACATGAATTGCTGTCCGTATTTTAGAAATGAACAACAAGAAGTAAGGCAGCCAGTCAGCACCATCCACCGCCAATTCTTAAGCTACTATAATCGAATAGTGAGATTGATCTTCCAGTTATAATATATTATGTCTGAAAGGGCGATCATTTTCGGTGATGGGATTCAAAACCGCGACCCACAGATTATTATAATAACATTTTAAACTATTCAATTTAAAGTTTGTTATCATAAACATTCTGAACCCTGCTTGTTTTGTTTATTTGTGTACTCTTGTTGTAGTTTTCATTGATTGAGAATGTTTAATTTTTCCAGTTAAATCTAACAACCACAGTGTGTTATTTTCTGAATGCTCTGTTGTTTGTAATGTAAATTATCGTAACTCATGTTATGATGTAAAACACGTCCTGAACTGACTGAAAACTCCTGTTTCCTGATTCGAGCTATTTATCTTAATCAAGACGCACACGAGAAATGTTACATAGTAAATACTTATATGACTGTAGAGAATAGACACAACATCCTTCTTCAAACAATCTAAATACTAATTAATTAAGTGACATTATTTGCCAGTGACTTAGCTCAGACATTGAAAGCTCATACTCAGTTCATACTTTCTCATGAAGCATAATTGTATATAATGAAACTTAAGCCTTTTCAGCCACTTGACTTTAAAGAAAATTGAAGGTAAACCTTACTTGTGGATCATAGCCACATAATGTTTTTGTTTCATGTTCTGTCATACATTTGATCTAACCGACTTTACTTTGGTTCTTTTTCTAAGCAATTTCTTAAACTTTGATACGCTATGAAAATATAAATATGTATTTCATACTATGGTAAGGAGAGAAAACGGAAGTTTTATATTTATGATGGGCATGTTTGTGTTATATGTATTGAATCAAGACTGTGTAAGTCCTGTAAGTGATCAGAAATATAAAAACTTAATGCTTATTTTTTTATTATATTCTATGCTATGGTGGAAAACGTCTAACCAGACAAAACCAAGAGATTTTTCGGGCCTAACAAAATGATATATAAATCCCCTACTCAAAAAACATTATTTCCAATCTTTTTAGTTAGCCCAGGTAATTGGTTCTAGGAATAACTTCTAGCAGACACAAAATAGATATGAAATGCTTTTTTCATACCTATGATTTGAAATCAATTATGATATATTTTGTAATAACGAGAGGACTAACCGTCTGCAGTCAAACATGATCTTTATCGCTTAGTGGAACCAAAACATCTCATTTCTTTGTCCAGTTAGGCGATTAACATCATGCTGTACTTTTCTTGTACTATCTAAGGTCATGAACGAACGGCTCTGAAATGCTTTGTTTGTACATGTGTGACTAAATCCCTGGAGAGTTAATAAAAAAAAAAACATGTAAACGAACATGTCTGTAGAAACGTATAATTTTCATGTATTATTTCTTATATTCAAATATTATATGTCAATTACAGAATAAAAATCTGGTTTTCATAGTTTATTCTAAAAATTCATTTCATTATATGTGAGTTTTCTAAGCTCTACGTTTGTCATGTGTTATTACTGTTAATTACAAAGTTCGTAAATGTCAAGTGTTGACATTAGTTTTATCACTTTTTGTTAATTTAGCAAAGAAAAAAGTTTTTATACATAAAAAGAAATATTTTCTTGTAAGTATGTAAAATGTTTACTAAAATATTTGCGTTGAAGAATAAAACATTTACGAAATTCGGGATTTTAAATAAGTTCATACCAAGAAATAATATCAGAAAACCTAATTTTAAGTTTTCAATAATTCGTGGTCGGTTTATCACAAAATATTTTCTACTGTAAAATAGTTATTAAATGTGGTTAAATGTAATGAGAATTTGGCACAAAGTGTTAAAATATAAGCTCTAACAGCAAAGCTGTAGTAATTACAGTAGTTATTAGTGTTTTCTCTAATTTCACTGTTTATCTAGAGATCAGTTGATACCGTGCATTTCTTCTCAACTTTATTTATTAATTGTTTTTTTCTACTTTTTAAAAAAACATTCAGTCAAACTTATAATTTGCTTTTTAGAGAAAAAGTTTGGTTTGGTTTGAATTTCGCGCAAAGCTACTCGAGAGCTATTTGCTCTAGCCTTTCCTAATTTAGCACTGGTAGACTAAAGGAAAGGCAGCTAGTCAACATCACCCACCTCCAACGCTTGGTATACTCTTTTACCAATGATTAGTGGAATTTACCGTCATATTATAACGCCCCCCCGCCCCTCAGTGGCACAGCGGTATGTCTGTGCACTTATAACGCTATAATTCGGGTTTCGATAACCGCGCTGGACAAAGCACAGATAGCCCATTGTGTGGCTTTGTGCTTAATTGCAAACAAACAATAACGCCCCAAACGGGTGTATCAGGTTTTTACGTATATAGATGTATTGGCCGGATTCTTTACACTAGTGTCTGTAACTTGTTGACGATAAATTTCAACAATAAACAAACAGCACACAATCCGCTTGTTTTAAAATAACATATATATTCAAAACAAGGCATACGTATGTACAATAATTCGTTAAACTATTAGTTATCACAATTTTATCCAGAAATTTAAATAATTGTCTCCTTTTTTTTTTCGTCCAAGTCTACACACACAGGCGGGTTCAGTTACTTTAGAACATCCTTTGACAAGATAAATTATTTCTTCTCTCCTCTATTATCACAATACAATCAGTGATCAGTTCACTTACGTTATCCCATGGGCTACCATAATTGTATCCAGAGCTTTAAATAATTCTCCTTTACGTCAAAACTCCACACAGGCGAATGCAATGACTTTAGAACACCCTTTGACAAATTCATCTTCTTTAATTATTTTATTACATTATGTCCACAGACATACCGCTGGGCCACTGGGGGGGGGGGCTTTCTTTTATGTAAAATTTACATTTTTCACTTGGTTTTTAGAAATGTTATTTCAAACACCAGAATGTCTTCACAAATGTTCTGATGAAAGAACGTTTGTGCCTATTGCGTAAAAACACAATGAAACAATCTTTGAGTTTATATTTCATAAGAACAATGGCAATTAATAAAAACGTATTTTGGGAATTTCCCTATGTTTATATTCCATACTATAAACGTATTGAGAGTTGATCAATGCCACTGTTTCGATTTTTAGTGACAAAGAAAGCAAGTACTGCTGGTTAATATATCTTAAAATTAAATTTAGGATCTACAGTAATTTAGATTTCAAAAAAAAATACTTCATAAATTCAAAAATTAAATCGTTAATAAGTTTCGTGTTATTGTAAAGTAAATTAAGTATATCTTATATTAATAGATAAATCAATGACGTGTTAAAACATTCTCTTGTACTGCAGAGAAATAACATATATAACTAATACAGTGTAATAAAGTAACAAAACATAAAACTTTTGAAAATTAAATGTTGTTTTATTATAAACCCTCATTCTATTTATACAACCAGCACATCATATTATCAAAAAAATTACAACATTGTTCTAGAAGACACCGGTTTCATTCGTTGTTTTTAGTTCACGTACCTGGTGCTGAAAAACAACAAAAATATCAAGAAACATCCAGCTCAGATCAAGCAAATATCATTTTATAAAATATTACTTGAACTGTGAATGTTTATGAAGCATCCTAAATCCTAAATGAAAACACAGAAGATTACATACTGAAGATTACGTTTTACAAAACGAACAACAACGATTCTAACTTTTATTCCATATCTATATCCTTGTTACTTATCCATCATTATTTACCACGGTAATAATTCAGAACATTATTATTTATTTGAATCGTTTAAAGATTTAGTCCTGATAGCCTTTGCCACATTATAAGATTCAGACATTGTTAACTGAGATTTTATGGTTAATTACTGAGATTGCTGAAAACTAACATTTTGGTGAATATTGACATGGATAGCAACAGAGATCAAGTAAAACTGTGGCAGTCATAACCCTTAACAAAAAGAGTGACATTAAACTAAATCACTGATTAATGTACGCTATTTATGTTACATAAAAAACACACGCTATATCTACTAAGTACTAAGTGGCGTCTAATATAGTAGAAATTAGTGAATATTTTTATGTATGTAACGTACAACTACAGTTAGGTATGATAGAAACAGTCACGAAAGGACAGTTAAGACCATAAGTACACAGTGTTCCATTTTGTCAGTTTCTTGCTAGCACCTTTAGTTAAGACGTTACACATTAACATTACGCTCTCTTTAAGACAGTATAAAACTTACTTTAACAGACGCAGGATGGAATCAAGTCATTCGTCCATGTCTGCTTCGAGATAACCCATATCGTCGTCGTTAGGTAGCTTAGAAACCGTGTAACCTAAGTTCTCCATGACCTTCATCTCTCTAAAAGATAATGGGTATTTTACAATAAACTTCAAATGTAAAAATACAATACTTTGCAGGTTGACTATTTTAAATGAATATATACATGTTAACATTGTATAGTTCCTAAAAGTATATTGGTTTGTATTATATAAAACATTATTTATTGGTTTAGCCAACATACGGTGATGATGTAGTAAAAACCTTTATATACATATCCTCATGTGCTAATTAAATTAACTAAACTTTCTAACTATTTCTACTTCCCAAAGTCATTTTATTGACTTGTGACAACTGTATAAGTATTAGAGTCAAACTATCAAATTATTCTTTAAAGGCGACTATAAGATTTACATATGGACAAAAAATAAACATAGTTCTCAAACGAAACTCAGAATATACAGTAAATTTTTAAACCTACCTCTCAGCCTTATCGGCGTTTTTATGACATTTTCTGTGGCAGTGTTTGTGGCACACTATGGAATCAGCTGATTCGATCAGAAAGAGTGACAACAACAACAACGTCAGACACAAGGTTAAAGTAAGGTTTTTCATTATGACAGGAAAGCCAGTAGAAAAATCTCCTGGAAGTTCGAAAATATCGAACCAGTTCGTTAGTAATATCTTACTGGTTATATAACTAATTATCAAAAATAACACTGTCGATAGCTATCTCGTAAATCAAAGAATTAAATGAAAAATATTACAATATTATTTTGGGAACATAATGTTTTCGTTTGATAAATATCTATCGTTGTCATAGAAGTACCCTTTAGAGAAGTTGGAGGGGTTTCATATCTAATTACTTACCATACAAATTCTGTATTTACTGAAGTATATTAGCTAGATATGAACGCGAGTATTACTTGATATATATATATATATGTACAGTAGCCAGATAAGCTTTTAATGTAGCAATCTAATACATTACGCAAACAATGAGGTTAATTCCCATGGTTTGACCCTCATATATGTCAATAAATTGATACTATCAACGCCGTATACATGTATTTCCAATGTTCTCAAAACTAATTCTTCCGGGATACTTGTTTACCGATAATATAAACAACAAGAATAATATCAACAGGAAACAGGTGTTACTATTTTGACAAACGTAAGTAGTGTACCAATAGATGTCGCAACAGCATCTTTTCAGAGACTTTGTTTCTCTGAAGTAGAATGTTTTCAGGAATGGTTTGAAGTCCTTAATTAAATTATTTAATATACATATTTTTAATAATCCTACTTTACATTTGTCATTCCCTCAAAAGAGTAACACATTCAACATCTGTAATCATAACATAATAAGACATAAAACATAAAAATCTGAGCATGCTAGTCTGATTTGTGTGTGTTTGAAGTACCATTTGTTCTGCCAGCTTGCTGGTTAATAAATAAAAAATACTTGTTTTTCATTTTTCTTATTTAATGAAATTCTTTGTCCACATTTCACATTTTAGGAAACTTTATTATTAATATTCAATTCAAGCCATTTATACTTAAGTATACTTATTTAACTTATAAAAAATATTTTTTTTCCATTTACTAGTGCCCAACAATAATTTCTTTAAATAGTTACTTAACCTAAATGAGTCACAAACTATTTATCAGAGCGACGTATAGAATTTTCAAATATTGACATGAACCTTAAAAAAATTAAATAAATATTATTTATTATAAAAGTAATTATAATAGTTAATTTCAGTCATGATCTTCTCTAGTCAAATTTGACGAACGTTGATATGTTTATTGACAGCCCCATTATAGAAATAAAGATACTTTCACATCCACCACTAATGTTTCAAATACTAGAATACGCCACCTTTAATCCTTCTTACATTCTTGTGAATTGGACATCAATATACATGTCTACAATGTTTACTTATTATGTACTGGAAGATACCAGTACAGTGAATTTTTACATATTTCAATGTACTTTAAAATATGCAAGTTTTTCTATAGGTTATTACCTAAAATACATTTATCCTCCGACCTTCCACTCCAAAATTTCCACCCACTTTGTTTTCCGAGATCCACATGAAAGTAAAACAATATACCGAAGTAACAACCGTCATTCCTCTTGTTTTCTGCTATAATAAATGGATAACTGTTTCTAGTATTGTTTGTATTTTAAAGTACGTATTTTTACTTAATGAATATAAACTAAATATTATCAGTTGACCTCAAACTCTTACAGAATAATGCCAAAACCAAAAATAAATATAATGAGAATATGCAACACCAAATACGGTTCTGGTTCTTGTCTAGCGTTATGAAACTTCACTTTTGCTATAGGTAGTTAGTTATTGACATAGGATAAAAATCAATCTCAGAGAAATCATGAGAACCATGTGGAAGTGTATCAACAAGATTAAGGAAGAAAGAAGTAATACTATTGTAAATATTGATTTGGATGTTTACTTGAAGCATTAAAGGGTTTAGGCATAGATATACTAACTTGTTGAACGAACATTTCTGTTTTCTGTAGTGAGTTTTTCTTCTGTTTGTTTGTTTTTTTCTAGGGCAACAGAAATAACGTTCTCAAGAAACAAAATCAGAAAGAGAGTAGAATTAAAAAAAATTATCTTTTCACACAAATAGTATTATTAAATGTTCTCTCTTTGTGAAGTTTCCATCTTGATGTATTACTTTCTTCATAGTTTAGTCTATTGACAAGCACAGTTATAGCTTATATATCAAACGTTTTAACGGTGAAATCTCGTGCATCGCGCCTGTGATAAGCCAGAAATATTAGTTTAAAGGATAAGCCCGTGTTTTCTACTATTCGAGATCATCTGCATTGTCAATACAACACAATACAACTACAAGACAAGGTGTACCATGACTGAACTTAGCCATTTTAATTACTTCTCTATGTTGTCTTTAATTAGAACATCCGCCGTTAGAATAATGTTCGTTTTAGATATATTTCTAGACTTGTTCTTTCTGACCCTATTATAGTTCATCACTTAGCTTCGACTACGTCTAGTTGGTTCACACCATTATAGATAGGTAATGTAAAAACGTGTAACCTAAGTGACCTAAGACCGTCAAATCCCTAGTAGATATTCGATGTATCAAGGTGTGACCACATTGTATACACAAAAGTTTTGTATTCTTGTCTTATAAAGTTAAACTTAAAATGTTTGAATATGCACTTTTCCAATATTTCAATACACGTAACGCGGTATATAACACTTATATATATGCACTTGTTTATTAGGCTGATAAACTTTTCTTGATGAGTTAGTCATGAGATTGTGTCACCATCCAAAGTAAAAGTAGTAAAGTCTAAGTATATAATTCTTCATGTTGTTGTTGTTTTCTTAGTGCAAAGCTACACATTGAGCTATCGTTATTTTGTCCACTGCAGTCCACGTAGTCATGAGAGGTTCAGAGTAAGACAGTTTTCAGATGTTCAGTTTAACGTAGTGGTGAGAAGTTCAGAGTAAGGCAGTTTTCAGATGTTCAGTTTAACGTAATGGTGAAGGGTTCAGAGTAAGACAGTTTTCAGTTGTTCAGTTTAACGTAGTGGTGAGAAGTTCAGAGTAAGACAGTTTTCAGATGTTCAGTTTAACGTAGTGGTGAGTAGTTCAGAGTAAGACAGTTTTCAGATGTTCAGTTTAACGTAGTGGTGAGTAGTTCAGAGTATGACAGTTTTCAGATGTTCAGTTTAACGCAGTGGTGAGAAGTTCAGAGTAAGACAGTTTTCAGATGTTCAGTTTAACATAGTGGTGAGAAGTTCAGAGTAAGACAGTTTTTAGATGTTCAGTTTAACGTAGTGGTGAAGGGTTCAGAATAAGACAGTTTTCAGATGTTCAGTTTAAGGTAGTGGGGAAGGGTTCAGAGTAAGACAGTTTTCAGATGTTCAGTTTAACGTAGTGGTGAAGGTTCAGAGTTAGAACAAACCTCACGATTACTGTAGTACATTTGGTGGACATAGTTGTGTACGTGTTTTCATAAATAGCTTATGAATATACAAACTTTATGTTGAATCAAATTGTTTTAACCCTTTTAGTCTAATGAACATGATGTTAAAAACGCACTAGACAAATACCGAAACTCTGAAAATTTGGTCATCCGCATTGTTTGTGAGTTTACACTTATGTGACAACAACAATACTCGTATCAACAGGAAGCAAGTGATGAAATGTTGATATACAGATTTAGTGTACCGCCAGGTGCACTTACATGTGTTTATTACGACTGGTATTCCCATTATTTCGGAAAGATTAGGAGAAGTTACAAAACCGATATTTAATCTTTGATCTATAAATTTAAGATACAGACAGGTGGCGACACAACTTCTAGTGCTGAAAGGTATTGTAGTCATAACTTATAGTGCTGAAAGGTATTGTATACATAACTTCTAGTGCTGAAAAGTATTGTATACATACCTTCTAGTGCTGAAAGGTATTGTACACATAACTTCTAGTGCTGAAAGGTATTGTAGACATAACTTCTAGTGTTGAAAGGTATTGTAAACACAACTTCTAGTGCTGAAAGGTATTGTACACATAACTTCTAGTGCTGAAAGGTATTGTACACATAACTTCTAGTGCTGAAAGGTATTGTAGACATAACTTCTAGTGTTGAAAGGTATTGTAAACACAACTTCTAGTGCTGAAAAGTATTGTACACATAACTTCTAGTGCTGAAAGGTATTGTACACATAACTTCTAGTGCTGAAAGGTATTG